TCTCAATTTGTATTATGAATACCTCATTAAGGTATTTTGAAAGCTGTCTTGCAAGTTCGACGTTGAAGCCGACTCTAACAGTTGCATGTTCTTCTTCTGCTGGATTAACATCTGGGCATCAGAATAAGTTTTCTTTGAACCATCCGACTGTACATGTCGGATGGCCTTCCTCTTCCCTAGCTTAGGGAATCGGAGTTTGGCCAAATTTATCAAGGGCCTCTGCCCCTCCCTAGGTTTAGGGTAAAGAGTGGCCTCTCGGTCTTTGACCGGCTTATTCCTCCTAGAATGGGAGAGCTTCTTGGCCGACTGTTCTCTGGTGGATACAGCCGTTCGTTTATCAATCAGGTCCTTAATCTCCTCTTTGAACTTGTCATGAGAGTCATGAGCTCGTTTCTGGTGATAGGGATGGAGCCTTCGGCCACCTGGGGTTGACCATTTGACTGGCCGACTGGTTTACTAGGGCCCGCCTGTTCGTCATTCCGTTCCCTCCTTTCGATGGGACGGATGCGCCTAATTCATAGGTTCTTGTGAAGCCATCTTAGAAGTACTTTCCCCACAGACGGCACCAATTGTTTCGGTTTGGATGTCCTGCGGGAGAGTTACAATACCAAGACTGGCCTCTGAACGCCTGTACCTGCAAAACAATGGAGACTGTTGTGGGTGTGAGTTCCGCCTCTGACAATCAAGTTAGAACGTGTTTGGATGTAAAAAGTGAGGAATGTAAAGGGGATCAGGCTCCTCTTAGGAGAGAAGTGATCATCCGACTATTTGAGATAGCCTCGAAATCCGAATCTTAGCTCTTAAGAAGTGAAATTAAAGCTGGAGTTAATGCTCAGCAATTAACGTACATGTGTGTTTTTTAATTTCTGAATGATGTTCCCCAGGGGAAACATCTCCCTTTTTTAGGGTCTCGTAATGCGTGTCGAGTACTAGGTTTCAAAAACCTAGGACGGACTGGGTTTGCCTAGGAATTTGGGCCGTTTAAAGCCACTTTCTTGGTTAGCAATCTGTCTGCCACGTGTTGTGGCCTGATTGGTCCACCTTAGACCTCTCACGAGGTGACACATGGCAGACTCTGGTTGGTCCACATGGATGACACGTGGCATAATTTAATTGGTCCACATGGTAGGGTTAAATCCCCTAATCAAGCCCATCTCTATAGTTACAAATGTTTTTTACTCGATTTTTGGGGAATTAAAAGTGTAAAAAATAATGACTACATAATAATGGAATATGTAGTCATTATAGAAGGTATACAAAGTTTTATTGATTTTGAGAAAAAATGATTTAAATTGATTAGGCCAATGTCCTAGTGAGAGTCGCACAGAGTTCTTTATAGAAGGTATACAAATCCAAGACATATTGTAAATTAATGGGTGTTGTTAAACGTCGTTCGCAAATTACTAGGTGACGCTCGCATTTTTTACTTGAATTTCATAATTTGCCCCTCGTATATAAATACTCGGGAAACTCACTTCCGAAACTCGCAAGTCACTTCACAACCCACACACACTCTCTCTAAAATTTTCTCTCTCTAAAAAAAAGTCAGAAATTGTAAAATAAAAAAAAATTTAGAAATTTAAAAACAAAAAAATCAGAAATTTTTTTTTTTAAAAAAACCCCAAACTTTGAAAATCAAACGAAGAACAACGAACACCAATCAAAGGTTGAATCTGGGTATGGCAGACCGGCGACGCGTTGGGCTGACTTACGGTGGTCGTGGGGGCTGCGTTAGTGGCGGCGAGCAGGCTAGTTGGTGTTTTATTGTTTCAGATTTTGGAAAACAAAAAAAAAAAAAGTAAAACCCAAACTTCCGCCTGAAATTTCCGGAAGTCTGGGAAACTTCCGGAAATTTCAGGCGGAAGTTCGAAATCTGGCTGGGTTTCCCCAGACTTCCGGAAATTTCACGCGGAAGTCTGGGTTTTCTATTTTTTTTTTTTGGTCGATTTGCTTTTTTTTTTTTTTGTTTTTTTTTGTTGTCGATTTGTTTTTTTTTTTTAGTCAATTTGTTTTTTTTTTGTTTTTGTATTATTTGTGAGTAATATAATTTTATTGTTATTGTTATGTGTATGTTATTTATGAATTTCAGATTTTTTTTTTTCCGTGTGATTATTGATATGTAATTTTTTTTTAGTAATATAATTTTAATTGTTTTTATTGTTATTGTTATGTGTAATTGTTATGTATTATGGTTTTTATTAATTTCAGAATTTTATTTCCTCGTGACTATTGATATGTTTTTTTTTTTTACTAATATAATTATATTGTTTTTGTTGTTATTGTTATGTATTGTTGTTATTTAATTTTTTCGTGATTAAAATTTGATAAAAAATGGATTGAAATTATTGTTGTTGTTGTTATTACCATTGTTGTTATTATTATTGTTGTTGTTGTGTTGTAATGTTGCCGATTTTGTGGTTTATTATTGTTTTGATTTGGTTTATTGTTATTGATGTCAAATTATTATTAGTTATTATTGATCCTTGGTAATGTTGTTATTATTGTTTATTTGATTTGGTTTATTATAGTTTTGAAATGATATTTTTGAATTTGAATATTAGTGATTCAAGTTTGATATCATAGTTGTGTGTGTAAGTATTAATGAAATCTGATTTTGTACTTATGTAATGCAGATTGAGGGTTCGGGTGCTCGACATGCAAGATCAAGATGTTTGAATGCATCAGTTAGGAGGGAGTTAGGTGGTGCAGGACCTTCAGAGGCACCGTTTCATCATGAGCAGAAGTACGGGTCTGGTGGTACTTGGTCGGGGCAGCATTAGTCAGATGGGAGCGCCCCTATGTACTCGTCGGGTAGAGTGCCTGAATCTAACAATGAGGACGACGAGCGAGCTAGTCATGCTAGTCGAGATTTAGAGTACGACCCTCAAGATTATCGTACCGTGTATAGGGCTCAGCATGGGGGATTTGTTGGCAGTAGTGAGCCAGACCAACCTTCTACCAGCTCCTCAGAGACGTGGGTAGTACAGGAGTCGATGCCAGGTGGGCCTGAGGATGGTATTGTTATTCCTAGCTTTGGGGGTTACGTGGCTGCATATTTATGGGCTGGGCAGGAGCGAAATGTTCTGCGGTGTTTGAGCAGGACACAGTTGTGTATTGAATTGGGTAACTAGCGCGCTCGTCTTCTGTAGCAGCACCAGGAACTGATTGATGGCAGTGGTCTATCTCACTTACCCGGGATCATGTTCCGGCGATTTGACTGGCCCCTGATTTTTGCTTTTGTTGAGAGATGGCAGCCAGACACGAACACGTTTCACATGCCATTTGGGGAGATCACGATCATGCTGCATGATGTGTATCATATTATAGGGCTCCGTGTCGACGGCTCCATGGTTTCCACTACTCTTAGCACGGATGTTTTACGGGACGCGTGCTCGATTACCATGGCAGGATAGTGGGTAGCTCACTGAGAGGATAATGGAGTCGACCTTAGAGTCGCAGAGGCCCTTCAGTGTCCATTACAGGGCGTACTTGTGGTTAGTACTTGGCGGATGTCTGTTTTTGGACAAGAGTGGCAACCGTACTCATCCTTCCTTCCTCAACGAGCTGTTTGTTGAGGATGTTTAGATTACTGAGTACTCCTGGGGTTCTGCTGTGCTAGCATATATGTATCGGCAGTTGGGTACAGCATCACGAAAAGATGTTGATTCAATCGCTGGTTGTCTTACGCTTCTGCAGGCGTGGATCTACAAGTACTTTCCCTGTTTTCGGCCTCAGCAGGGGACCTTGACCAGAGAGCTTACTGTTCCTCGTGCGTCTGCATGGGATGTCGGATCGGGGTGCCCCAATAAGAGCATGGAGCGCCTCCTCGCTTTTCGTGCTAGGTTGGATCATCTGAATGACAATGAGGTGAACTGGCTACCGTACAGAGATGAGAGCACGGCGCGTGCCTGCTACTCTATTCATTGGCTGCATCCAGTACCGCAGCATCATTGAGCCATATATGCCTGATCGAGTGGTTCGACAACTTGGATACGTCTAGGGCATTCCACAAGCCATCATTAGGCCTGAGAAGGCGAAGAGACCGACGAACTTGAAGATGTATCGAGTGGACTTTCCGCCAGAGATGACGTCTGTGATGTGGACTCGGTTTGTCCCTGGTGCGTCTTTCAGTGTGGTGTTAGGTCCCCTTAGCAGGCTTTGTGGTGGTGCTCCTACGGTCGGTCCTGGTTACATGCAGTGGCACATAGCCCAAGCTCACGGCCTGACAAGATAACCGACGGTTCCTTATTATACCCAATCAAGTCTCTCAATCTCTGCAAAACCCATCGATAGCTTGCCATGCACTCGTTGCGCATGAACACGTAAGCAACGAGGAAATTCTGATTTGTCGGTGTCACACCAACTATCTCAAAGAACGGCATCCCGTATCGGTTGGTCTTGTAAGTGGAATCCATACCGATCACATATGGGTACGTCCGAAAGATTTCTACCGTGATTGGGTGCGCCATAAAGGCGTGCTGTAAAACGTCTTCATCATCAGACACGACCCAGTAAAGATATTGACTCTGTCTCGCCAAATGTAGAAACTGCTTAACAACTCCTCTCCCGTCAGACATCTCCGATCTCAGGTCATTCCGGCAGTTGTAGATGTGTCTGATGTTTGGATGATCATCAGGAAACTGCTCGACAATAGTCGCCATGATGTTACGCGGTGCAACCTTAGACTTCGTCATGTCACGCACAACCTGCTACGCATTCGGGCTCAACCCACTAATTTTATGATGCCCCTCTAGATACACAATCATTAGATGGTTGTGGGTCCCAATTTCATCATTTTTCGCCCGGATAATCCAACTGTCGGTGATGAACTCCTAGTATATCTTGATGTATAAAGGACAACCATTGGCTTTGGTTTTTGTGTCCTTCCGAATTGCGTTCTCAAGATCTCTCGGCTTACTCCTGCGTCCCCGATCACATCTCAAATACCGATATGGTCGACCATCTCTGGTTTTGTTGAAAGACGATTTCACCAAAATAAATTACAGATTTATGGCAACAGCATCCTCCCATTTAACAGCATCCTCAAACGTTCGAAAAACCGTGTCTGTCACAAAATTTGCACTGTAATTCACAACGTCACCGCCTCCTTCAACCTCCGAATCCTATAAAATTACAAGACAAACACTATAAACTAACATTCACATAAAGTAATACTAACAAAAACAAGTAACAATAACAATAATACAATACTAAAAACAATTACAAACAACAAAATTTACGCAACCCAATTTATGCGTACCAAAACAATAAAAATAATAAACATCCAACAACAACAATAATCATACTAACAACAACAATAATATTATTAATAATAAAAACAATAGTAATAATAGTAGTAATAATAATAATAATATTAATAATAATAATAATAATAATAATAACAAAAAAATTAGTAATATTTACAAAATTAATAATAATAATAATTATTATTATTATTATTATTATTATTATAATAATAATAATAAGTACATAACATTAACAAATAATACATAATATAAAGTAATAACAACTAATATCACAATTATTCATAATAATAATAATAAGACAAGCAATTACAAAAAAAAAAAAAAAAAAAAAAAAAAAAAAAATTAAGGGACTTCCGCCCAAATTTTCCGGAAGCTTGAGTGGAGATCCGGAAATTTCAGGCGGATCTTAAGTGGGTGATCCGGAAATTCTGGGTGGATCCCCACTTACGCTTCCGGAAATTTTGGGCGGAAGTCCCATTTCCAAAATAATTTTTTTTTCCTAAAACTCACAGATTTTTCCGACGAATCCTCCGGCGTATGAACGTTGTCGTCGTTCATCATCTAACACGGCTCGATACACTTTCCGTTTGTGCCTCGGGATTTTTAAATTGCTTGGGATTACCGTACAATGGTGGGGTCGGGATTTTGTGGGGCTCGGGATTTTTTAAACACAAGTGGTGGGGTCGGGAACAATATTTAACTTGTCGGTATCTAAAGTGACTCATGGTGGACCCTTATACACAAAAATTACACACAAGGACAAAAAAGTCATTTCACCTAAAAATAGGAGCGTCACCCTGTAATTTGCGAACGACGAATAGCAGTTAACAAATTAATATATATGGAGTCAATCCTATTAATAAAGTTCTTGACTTTGAGTTCTTACAGTTGTATTCCGAAGATCTATATATTTTCTCCCTGTCATACAAGTAGAGGCGTAGATCCACTCGAAATTGTAAACAATCAAAAAACATGTTCACTCTTTTCTTGATATTAAACATGGACTAAGAGATCACATTAGATCTTTTGATATGACAACATACTTTACAAATGATATGGCAATTCACTTATGAACAATTCATCTTTTTTAATTAATGAGACATAAATTGTAAAGTTAAAACGCTATTATAGTCAATCTTCCCAGGCAAACAAAAAAAAAAAAAAATCAAAATTTCCAGGCAAACGCCCAGAAATTTCGAAAAACCTAGGCAGAAACGCCTAATTTTTTCGAAACTGCCTAGGGTGTTCGAAAAAACTAGGCATTTTTGCCTAGGTTTTTCGAAATTTCTGGGCGTTTGCCTGGGAATTTCGAAAACAAAAAAATTAAATAATCGTACCGATTCCATACGGTCCGACAAGCCTCCGGCGAGCAATGTAGGTGGTGTTTCCGATCTTTCGTTGTCTTCTATTAGATCCAACGAATTAGGTTTTGCAAATTTTACATTATTTGTTTGATTTTGAAAATTACAGTGGTTGGTGGTTCAATGTGATCATTGGTGGCTGGTGAGCACTAGAGAGAACGGTAAAATTTTTTGTGTAGGGTAGAAGTGTTAAGTTTAGGTAAAAATAATTATTTTATAATATTTTATAACAAGGCTACATACGTCATTTTAGGTTATTTTACGGCCGTTAGTTAGAGATTTAAGGGCGACGTTTAGCTGCCCACAAAATTATTCGTTAATAAATTATCAAAATATTGATATATCCAAAATCTGCTCTTGTGAAAAAAAAAATTACAATCTGAACATTATTTCATTATAATTTCATATATGCATGTATATTAGTTATTTAGCTGTCACATGTTAAGATGATTACATGGAATCATTTCCTCATTACCACATGGTCATAAACTAAATTAGTCAACCTCATCTTGTTCATTTATTTACTTCGTTCTTTTACGTTGTACAATACTGCTTAATTTTTACAAATATGAAATTAAAAATATTTGACAATAAGTGAACTGAATTACAAAAAAATTTGATCTTGTCAAGTTTCAAATTTTGTAATCTGGTTCGATATGATATGATTTTAACAAGAATGATTGATCAAGATAAGGCAAAAAGGGGTTAGATAGTTAAAGGCAAGAAAAGTATATAGATTAATATGGATCCAAAAAAAAATTTGTCGATTTAAAAAAAATAAAAATAAAAATAATATGGATCCAATAAGTTAGTTAAAACATCACATGACACTAATTTCCACCTGCGATTACTATATTCATTTTATTTAATTTGTTGATTTTCATTTTAACAGCATGTTCATCTGTGCCTTTTATTTTCACTTATTTTAAGATAATATATTTAGATAAGTTCAGTTAAATTCATGTGAGATAAGTTAAGGAAAATAAGTAGTTCTAATAAGATTACCTATGTAACTTTTTATTTATGTGCCAAATTTTAAAATATACCATTGATACAAAATTAACTAGATTAGGAATAGATGTGCTTTTGTGACGATTAAAATTATGTAGTAGGCATGTAATGACTAATAATAATATAGGTGAGAATGTTCGATTAAAAAAATTATAAATTAATTTAGCAAATTAAACTTGAAATATTAGAAATTTCTAAAAATTATCCTAAAATAAAAAATTTGTTTAAAGCCCGTTGGGTTGACGCGAACCGAAACTTTGGGCTAGGGTTGAACATTTCTTGACCCATGACCTTAAGTGACCCGTGACCCTACCCAATTGCCAGGTCCACGTTCAATAATCAATATTAATCAATAACTATATACTAAAACCACACCAGCAATGACATATGTTATCTCCTGTGTCTCCTTATAGTTTTTTTTTTTTTTTTTTTTTTTTTTTTTTTGTGTTGAATAAAATTATATTAAAGAAACAAATCTTATACAAAAATAGTTCCCTAATCTTATACAATATAATTATTTAAAATAAAAAAATTTTGACATATCTTTAATACAAATATTTGTATCGCTACGAAGTATAAAAAATATTCTTTACATACTTTTGATAATTTTCTACGTCATTTCATATCTAATATATCTTTCGTAATCCTTTATTTTGATCAAAATTTGTCAACTATATTTTTTAATTTTTTTGTTTATAAAAAACTAATTATAATGATACTTTTAATAATAGTTATTGAAATTTTTTTTTTTTTTTTTTTTTTCTAAATAATATTCTATTATCTTATACAAAAATAATTCCCTAATCTTATACAATATAATTTTAAAATAAAAAAAATTGACATATTTTTAACACAAATATATATATAGCTATTAAAGTACATTCTTAACATAATTTTGATTATTTTTTACAGAATTTTATATCAAACATATCTTTTGTAATACTTTATTTTGATCAAAATTTGTCAAATATATTTTTAGATTTTATTGTGTTTATAAAAAAATTATTATAACGATAGTTTAATAATAGTTGTTGAAAATTACCGTGCTTGGCACGGGAACTATCCTAGTTAAATCATACTAACTCCTTGTTCTTAATTGACACTGATAGCGATTTTAAACAAGTTATAAAACCCTATTCTTGCAAGTGTACAAGTAATTAATAGATAGTGATAAATAATAGAGTATCGTATCCACATGGAACGTTGAATAATACTATGGTCTATAGTCTACTAATTTAATCGAGAAGTAGATTGAGTAGTCTTGACTAAATTAACTAAAAACTGAAGCTAAATAAGATTATAAGGCTGACGGAAATAATAAAATCACAAAGAACAATCAAATAAGAGGAACTCTAAGACAGTCGAATCCACCTCTATTAATATGACTAACAATTTAACCATAGAGAAATTTAATTGGTTTTATTGAGCACCCTTAATTACACGCCTGGATAAACTCCCAAATAAAGATAATTGCAATTAAATAGGTGACATAATTTATCTAGCTAAAGCATAAATTATTCATTACTCACTCACAAACATGAAATACCATTGCATGACATCACACTCTGCACTACAAGAACAAAGTGTGTAAATTAGATAACCAATTAAGCCAATAGATAGTTCTACAAGAATTATTATTAACGAAAATTGGAAAACAATAATCACTCAAATTATCTATAAAATCATGCAATCATAAAACCAATAATTCCATACTTCATTAGATGATTGTTCTAGAATTGAGAAATTAGCTATTCATAATTGAAGAGAACATCACCCAATTATGATAAACCATTAAGGATATCACCGATTTGGACACCGAACTGCTGCTGTACTTCGTTAGATGATTGTCCGCTGCCGCAGTGCCGCTCTGTTTCACCCTACTTATAATTGCAGTGGTTCCTCCTCCCTTATATGAGTGAGATTCACCCTCAACTATTATGAGATTTAAATTTTACTTTCCTTTTCTTTTAATTTCTTGCTGCTTTTGTGCGTGGGTTTTGATGCTCATAAGGAAAAGGTATGCTCTTTTCCTTTTTCATTTTTGATGCTAATGTTGGCTGCTCTTTTACTTCGTGGGATTAGGTGGGTAAATAGTGAGTGGGCTGGGCTTTATTTTTGCTTTGTTTGCACTTCCAAACCTGCACACATTTTACTCTTTGAATTATACTTCGTAAAATATACCACAATGTCATATAATTAAACATATAACTCTATTGTTATAATGTACTGTTGAATTTCGTAGCGTCCAACGCTACGTGGAAGAAAAACCCGTCCAAGACCCGCCCACTAATTAAAGCAACTAAGCATGCAATCACATAATTAAACAACAAAAGAAAGAGAAAGGGAAATGACATTCTTACCCTCGACGCGTGCTTCGCTCCCATAGAGCTCGGACTTCAAAGCCTTAGCTCGGCAAGCGCGAGAGCCTCCGACGGAGCCCACCCTCGAGACCCGACTCGAACGGCCTCTACCTCGAAGGTTAGTCGGGGCTAGACCAAGAAAAGACTAGAGTATTACAAATTTAAAGGTTTTCTCACCTATAGGGAGATGCCTTATTCAGTTCAGCTCCAAAACTTGGGTATTTATAGGAAATGGAGACTTGATCTCCCTTCTCCCATCAATGTGGGAGATTTGCAGTTTCCTCAATTTTATTTTAATTAAAAACAAAATAAAAATGTTAGGCAATCACCAAGCTCCAAGTGTCACATGGAGGGCAAGAGTAGGTGAGGATCATTTAAGGGGAGGGGGGACCAAACCCTTGTTCACCAAGCAACCCCCTTAATTTCGGTCCCCACACAAAACCGCACATACCTTGCCACTTGGCTGGCTAGTAGCCTTCCTTGGCTGCCAAGGCTGCCAGCTAGCGCCTAGCACCAAGGCTGGGCAGCCTAGCCAGCTAGCACGCAGCACATGCGCAGCTAGCCAGCGCACACGCATGCGATTGTTGCTGCTTGGTGCGTGATGTTGTGCTAGTGGCGTGGTGCTAGGTGCTGCTACGCTAGCACGCCCAGCCCAGCGAGCTTGCATGCTGCTGCTTGGTGCTGCTCGCTAGCAAGCACGCATGCACAGCCCAAAGCACAAGCACGCATAGCGAGCTGTTGTGCGAGGGCTATGCGTTGCATGCTTGCAGTAGCAAGGCCCAGCAAGCACTTGTGTGCTGCTGGCCTTGCCATGCTTGCGGTAGCAAGGCCCAACAAGCACTTGCGTGCTGCTAGCCTTGCGATGCTTGCGGCAGTGCTGCTTTGTGCGAGGCACTAGCATGCTAGCACGTCTAGCGCGCCAGCGATGCTGGCCATGCCACACCAGCTAGCTAGCCAGCGCTGCTAGCATGCGATGCTGCTAGCAAGCTCGGCATGGTGCGTGGCTTAGGCTAGCCTAGCACTCGCATGGCTAGGCCAATGCGAGGCTACGGCTTAGCTCGAACTTGTCGCTTGTTTGATTTCTCGTCTCGTCAAATTCTGAATTCTACTAAACTACTTATGACGCTCAGTTTCGACGCTCCAAGCTCGACATCCGACGTCTTAGTTCGTAATACTCCAACGACTCATCTAATCCTTCGGATTGATTTGTCGCCTCAGATCGATTACTCGATTGGGTGTGACTCGAAGGGTTTAGTCAAGATTAAGTCGTAATATTAGTTATACATTAATATTACTGATCGGAAGCGGCCTCCACCTAGGCATTCTGATCACTTAACCTCACTGAAGAATTACCTTTCTAATAATTCTGAACCCTCTATCGGAATAATACACTTGTTGGAAGGACACCATTCCTTTCAATCTCCCACTTTCGGACAAGTGTGCAATTAGTGTATAACCCATTTCCTATGTCGCTTAATGTCTCTTCATGAACTATAAGGTAAGATTCTTTGTCATCCTTATTGTGTCTAGAAGTGTTTCTCGATTTTCGAGTTCAACTGTCAATAAGCAGATGATTTCTAAAATCCATCTGAGCACGGCCATGCATTTTCACAGTCTCGCTCTTCGGCCTTGTAAACAACAAAGACATATTTCCTATTGTTAATAATAGGGGGACATTCTTAGTCTTGTACTGTGAGCTTTCCTTAATAAGAGGACCTAGCCGCCCGAGTGTTGCCTTTATAATCCTCATTTACGGCAGAAGTTTGACAACATCAAAATGGACTAGTACGCAAACAAGAGAACTTACAATTCTCATGGTCGAGGAAAAAGGTTCCGATAGCTATAATGAGAAATATACTTATGACGATTTTAAATCTCTTAAAGTATTCTCATAGGTTTATCTGGTATAGTTCTAAACCAATACCTGTACAAATGATTTATGAAAATCATGTCTTCGTAGCACAAGAAACGGTGCTATAAATCATACTACACACTAATCTCAAGTGGTCATTAATCGTCTATCATTTAAATGACCTTGATTAGGGATAATTTTTTATTGAAATATTCAATGTTCACTTAACAGGTGTTTCTTTATCCAAAACATGGTCTTGATACCCCGTCTTGAATATTCTTTAAAATCGAATGGACTCATTTTTAATTCTAAACCACAATTAAATAGTTCACTACAACAAAATAAAGCAAAGGTAATAGTGAAAAACCCATTGCCTAATATTAAAAAAGTGTTGCCTTGTAGCTAAGGCAACACATATGAGACGTTGCTTATGCCCCCGTTGTCTATTCATAAGGCAACACATTTTTATTATAAGGCAACAAATTTAAAGGCCAAGGTAAATTCATGCCTAAGGCAACAATTTTACAAAGGCAACAATTAAAAACTATTGCAACCTTAGGAAGCAATTTAAAAATGTCGCCATATGTCATATTATGCTACAACTTTTTCACGTGTTGTATTTGCTAGTAACAATACAAAAGTGTTGCCTTTGTAATACATTGCAATATTGCAAAAGAGTGGAAATGTGTAGTATTCTTGTGAATGTGTTATATTAGAAAAATGTTTAATATCAAACATCTAATAGCTTTAACTATACAATCCCAAACTTATAAAAGTTATATTAGTAAAACAAAAAACAAAAACAAAAGCAGTAATAACATTTTTTCAACACCAAATCATCTTAATAACCTATTGTTTCATAGTATGTTGTAGGCTATAATATTAGTTTAGCTAATAAATAGAAGCAAAAATATGTCCGAGCTAGGAATAACAATAGAAAGGTTAAAGCAAATTCAAATTGAACTATGACATCACATTCTTCTTCTTCCTCTTACTCGCTCCCTATTACATCTTCTTCATCTTGTTCATTTTCCATACTATTCACTCCCTGCAAAAACAAAAAATAAAAAGTCTAGAATTAATATACTTTGTATTTCGAATGACCTAATGTAAATGTATAACTTATGACAGGAAGAAAATAACAAATAAGAAAGGCATAAAATAATGGATACAAAGGCTTGGATGATTTTGCTGTTATGACGAATAACGAAATCTAATAGGGGTAATATCTTTCAAATGCACCAAAAATAAGAGAAGAATAATGAAGACCTTAGTCACTATCTACCTCTAATTTGCGTAATTTAGAAATCAAAAGGTTTATACCTTGGATGTAGAAGCCGAAGGTTGAAGTCGAAGCATTCCTGCTGTATTACCATCCTTCTCAGTTTGACTCTCAAGAAACAAAGAGCCAAACATGCTTAGATCAAAAGACATTTGAGGATTTTGTTGCTGAAGTTGAGAAAAGAAGAAGCTAAGACCATTTGCCATCTCCCTTCTATCTTGTTGCCTTTTATCCTCATAATTTTTTTGTAGAGCTTCGACCTCCCTAGCATGCTTCTCTTCAACTTCCTTCATCAAAGCTTTCTTCTTTAACTGAGTTGATGAAACACTTCTTCCATAAAGGTTTATGTGAGACTTTTTCTTGTTATTAGAACCAATAATAGTGGAAATTACACTATCAACATCCTTCTCTGAATCTTGAAGTTCATTCTACATTTTAAGACGAGAAAATAAAATTAGTAGTGACAAAATTAAACGCAAAAAATATAACCACATAAAATGGGAATAAATCTTACAATCAATTTGTCCCTTAGATCACCGGGCTTCCGCTTTGTGAGCTTTTCCTTGCGTGTTTCTATGAACATCTGAGCTAGAGTAGGATTTTGTGTTGTTTTTCTATCCTTTTTCTATACAAGAGTGATGATTTTAAATCATTTTAATGAAGAAATAAACCAATAATAAAAGTGACGAGAAAAGAAAACAAATAAACTCACCCATTTATATCGAACACTAGCAAAACTCTTCGGTCCTGAAGTATGCATAATGTTCTTTTCCTTTCCAACTAACCGATTTGCTTTATTTTGCATACATTGTTCCTGACATATTAAGATAATGAACTAATTAAATAACCTTTTTCATAAAATAAAAAATATGCATTCATCATAAATGGAGGTGAGTATAAGACTTGTACATGTGTAAATACCTCATATTTTTCATCATTCCAAATCTTCAACAATTCCTTGAACATTGTTTTTGGGACCCGTTTTGGTGGATCCATCAACCTCATTTTATCATTGTCATATTTATGAAAGTGTACTCTTTTCAAATAACATTTGTATCGTCTCCAAGCAGCGCCAATGGCTTGCAAAACCCATCTTTTAGCCTTAACTGGGACAATGTAATGTTTCTACAACAATGTAGATGTCAATAATTGCAAAGATAATCAAGTTTTAAAGAAAAAAAAAAACAAAAATTTTAGTCATAATTATTTGTATGTGATTATCATAATTCAACACTTATAGAACTCGTTGATCTAAGTTATCGATAATTACCATATATGTTATAATACTAAAATAATTACATTAACCAATCAGGATTTTAGTCAAGATTTATAATTTTAATCGTAATTCATAGTTTCAGATCTTTCAGCTTGTTATTTTTATTTTTGAAAAAAAAAGAAACAAGCTCACAGCACACAATTGTGAAGGAACAAAGATAATGCAAGGAAATGTATATTGCAATAATAAGTAATATTGTTGTTGTGGCGTATAAAATATATCATGCTCATACATTATTGATTTGCTAAAAAAAAAGGTATATGTAAACTTACTGTGACATATCCCCAAAGTTCATCTTGCTTTTCATTTCTTAACTTTGGCCACTTGTAATACATTTAGATAATGAATAGTTAATTGTAATACATTTTCCTTTCGAGTTCCCAAGAAGCTAATGAACTCATTGCATGTATCATCGTCCGGGCCAACAGGTTGACCATGCTTATTCAAAGTAATTTCCAGGCGTTCATCTTCAGTTCTTCCATGGACTTTATAACACATAGTGGGACCTCTTCTTGACTTTTCAATTCCATCTATCTCAATCAATTCAATTCAAGAGTTTAAAAATTATCAATATATAAGGAAATAATCTAATCCAAATAATCTAAGTGTAAAAATAAGTCCATATACATGAATAAACTAGTTTGGGCCCTAGTAGATTTAGATAATGTAATATAAATTTTTAGAGCAATCAGCTTCAAACACATCCATAAAGAACAAACGGTAATGATTAGATCATGAAATTAATAATGCAGAATTAGTTATGATAACTTAAGACTCTAATTTAATGTTCTAATTGTTTAGTCATAAATAAGAACATATTGATTTAGTTTCTTGGTTTCAGAACAATTTAATTTACAAGATTATGAAATTAGAGTGTCCAAACACTTTACAACAAGTAAACTAATGTTCATTAATAATAATAAATAAATAAGTAAAACAAATTAGACTTAATTATTCAAAAATACAAAGGGAAGCATGACTTGCGATTTTCAAAATGAGTGTCACTCCTACTTGAGAGCCCTAGTGTAGTTTCAGTAGGTTGCTGCGCTGCAGCGTCATTTGTTTTTATTGCTGATGAAATGGGCTCAAGGTTCTGTTGACGCTTCTTATAAGCCATTGCCATTGCTATTGCTTTTCGAGCTCTTTTCATTTTGAAAATCTGTAGAACATGCATTAAAAATATATACATCCAAAAGCTGTTTTTACCAACATATATATTTGTCATTTAATTAAAGAAAACAATGCTACTGCCTGCTAATCATAAAGAGGAGACTTGCTTTGTAGTTACAAATAAAAAAAAGCATACAATTACATTTAGAAGTAATTACCTTCTTACGATTAGAGTTGGAGCCTTGATTACTTAAAGTTTCCTTGATACGTGTCCCCTCAAAAGAAGAATCGTGCTCATGCTCATCAATGTCAGAATCTTGGTCTGGCCTATAGATCTCATCTTCCTCCGCATCTTTCTTTTTATTAATTTTCCCATGGCTGCCTTTTTCAGTTTGATATCGACCCATCAATGACTTAGCCTTTTCATGCAGCCCTAAAGCTTGAATTTTTAGAGCATTTTTCTTTGATCCTTTGCAATCTTGACCTCTCATAATCTGGAATTTTTGTTTCATCAGTTTGAAACTGCTGATTGCTTGCTCCCAATTTAGTGGATTTTTTCTTTGCCATTGCTACAATTAAAAGATAAGTAAAAGTGCATTTGTGAAAATCGTTATAAGACTTATAAAAATTAATGCACATAACATCAGGATAAAAAAAGTAAGTAGATTTATTTTAAAATAGGGTGTTGCACGTGTAGTGGGATGTAAAATGCAAGAAGGGGAAGGGGGGTTAGTGCAGCTATTGGAGAGGGGATGTGGTAGGAAGCTGCAGTAGCAACGGTACATCAATAGCAGGCACCAGTTGCATATCGATTGGAACAATGCAGGTAGCAGGTTGGCTTTATAGTGGTACCTTAGGCAAGACAGTAGTGCAACAGAAGTTCTATGCAATTTTATAGCTATGCATATGCAGGCTAGCAAGAAAAGTGTAAATAGATAGTAGGCTAGTATAACTATATAAGGGAATTATAGATAAATTACAAATATACAGGCTAGCAAGAAGAGTGTTAATGGGCAGTAGGCTAATATAACCATATAAGGGAATAATAGCTAAATTACAACCAATAAAAGGTAAACCAACACTTAAATTAAAAACTTATGGAAGAGTAGGCAATATAGGGTATGTATAGCTAATATAACCATATAAGGGAATAATTGCTTCAAAAAACATGACCCTAGCAAGCAATGACTCTACTTGACTGGAACATAAGGTCTGCTGAGTAAGAAGGCCCATAATCAAATCTTTAAAGTAGTCCCTTATTCTGACCCTACTGCCTTTGTGAAATAAAAGATTTTGTTTAGCTAACCAAACCATATAATGTGAAAGACAGTGCGTCCATGTCATTATGCTGTGTTCATCTTATTTATTACCGCAGTCATCTATATGGCTCAAACCATTCATCAAAGAAAACTTGCTTGATTCCAGAAATTCAGATGGAAGTTGAAAAACATGACAAGAAAGGAAAAGTGTAAATAGGGATATCAGAGGTACATGGTGAAAAAAGAGGAAAAATAAGGGAAAAATTATAGAGTTTGAGTTCGTAGGGTGGCCAAATTGAGACAATGAGACTATAAGTTGCTTAAAAAATGTGGAGTGTGATAGCCCTGACTGATTAAAGTGCAACATTGGCCTTTGTATTTATTGATGACATAGGAAAAAATGGATATTTAGCATTGCACTAATTAAATAGAAGATAAATTAAAGGTCATAGGATATGGTTCTAAATTGTTGTACAAAAGTTCTATTTTGGGAGAAAGCAGCTTTTATAGAGGTTTTACATGCAATTTTTGCTTAAGGATGGTTTCATTGTTTTAGATTAGATGCTCAAACTCTTCTCAGGAAAATCCTGGCAATAGGAATTCAGTTTAAAATTTAGGAGATTAGGACGTTCCCAAGCCAAAGCCTATATCGGATCCTCACAATTTCTTGGGAATACTTAATGGTGTAATGTATAGTCTTTGCTAGAATAATGGTGTTGATTGTGGTTATAACTTGGTTAGTGTTTGCATTATCAATAAACCATTGATTTACTAGATGATTGTGTTGTAGTGACACTCTAGGTAGGTATAGGGGATGAGTTGTCGTAGCATATAATGGAAGTAATTCTTGTCTAAAGTATCAAAGCCAACAATGCAATAATTATGTGACATTATTAAGAGTTGGATTTTGCACAAGGAAATGAAAAAAAGCGATAAATAACAAGCTTTGGAACTAACCTAGAGCTCAGAATTGGAGAGGGATACCCCTGATTTTGTTTCTCAGATTGATGGGGCTTGGAAGAAATCAGACGAAAAAAGAGGAATAAAGACTCGTGGGAGGCAGCACTGGGATGGAACACTTAAGAGAATGGAGCTAGTGTCTCACATGGGAGCTAAAATGTGAAGGTGTTGACAAGGTAACTGGAAATTTCTCGGGTCATGTCAGAGAATATTTCTACGTTCTTCGAACTTCAATATATCAACAGACATACAGATGAATCACACTAACTAATCATCATGATAACTGCTTCACTGTCCTAATTATGAAAAGTAAAAAATGAGTACTCAGGTAACTTACCACTCATACTCTTTTAGGTACTGAACTTTAAACTGGCCCGTTTTGTTTATATAACTTAAGTCTGCTGCACAATTAATTATAAATACTTCATTTAAACTTCAAAATGAAAAAAAAATCCAGAAGTAACTACAACATTCTCACATTTAATAACAAGTTTCACTGAACTCTGAGACCTTAACGCACTCTACGTAAAAAATGTAATACAAACACAACATTACATAATTTTATCATTATGCACAATATCAGAATCCATATGTTGAAGTTTGGCACTAATTTTTCCCCTCTCAACACATTACATAATTTTATCATTATGCATAATATTAGAATCAACATTATTTATTATCAAAAACTACAGAAAATCACAAGCACAATCAATCAGTAATTGGATACTAGTTAAAGGACTTTCTCTCTTTCATGCTAATGATCAAACCTTTATGCTAATTACTGATTTTGGAATATAAGAAAAAAAAAGAAGCAAAGCAACATGCCTAAATTAATCATCACAGAAATAAACTTCATCACTGCACGAATTTAAACAATCAAAACACTGTATAAACTGATTGAAACCCAAATCCAAAATCTTTCCAAAACGAAAAAAACACCACAATTAATTGTATCATCAACTAATTGCAATTGTACAGAACTCCTTAACAAATGCATAATCACCGCAAGCAACAACCAGAAGTTAGATAATTTTTAGTAATTCAATCAATCATAAAGCTAACCTAGAAACATAACCAATATACATATATATATATACATATATATATATATATATGTATATATGTATATATATATGTATATATGTATATATATACATATATACATATATATATACATATATACATATATATATACATATATACATACATATATACATATATATATAAACACGACATAATTAAGATAAGCTAGAAGATATTTACATCAAATAATCAGATCCAATATCAAATCAACTATTTAATTACAAAACAGATACTTTATACTCTTAATTAACTCTCATCTGAGTAGAAAGAAAGGAGGTGAGTAACCGATTGATAGATATGATGATTTCAAGGTGATGAGCGTGTTGTATAATGAGATCAACAACTGAAAAGTGGAGTAACTGCTGATTCATAATGAAAAAATTTTGGAGCCAAAAAGAATTCACCATTTCGTGGGTTTGGAGAAGAAACCAGGGTTGTGGAGTTGAGGATGGAGTTGTTGAGGATGATGGGTTTTGGAGTAAGGACCGACTCTGGTTCTTCACTTCTTTCTTTTTTTTTCTTTTTTTTTTTGGTTTTTTTTGTTTTTTTAAAGTTTGGTTGAAAGATGGTTCTTCACTTCTTTATACTAGGGAATCTTACTTGGGTGGGATTAAAAAATATCTTAATCTTATGAAACAAAGTTGTAATGTGATATAACAAATAAATTAAAATGGCTAAAAGTTAGTTGCAACTTGGTGTTTGTGGATGGTAATCTATTATTGGGATAAAAAAATTTAAAAAAAATCCAAACTATTTTTCTTTGGAAAAAATATAAATAAAATAAAAATTGGATGTACAATAAATTTACGCTCTATAAACAGATAAAAATTAAAGGTTTGTAAGTAAAAGTAACTATAATATCCTTATAAAATTTATTTCAATGGCAATTTACATTAAAATTTTATCGGCTTCAAAGTTGCCCAATAAATTAAAAGCTATCCGAAATTGGCAAAAAAGTTACCTTACTGAACTATTACAAGTTTCTCTAAAGCCTATTTAATTTTATCTAAGCTTACGTGAGCTTATTTTTTTTGTAAAATAAGGGGAATAAAATTGAATACAATAAAGTCTTGTTTGTAATAATTTTTGACGAAGTTTTAGACAAATGTAATATTGAATCGAAATCAGCAAAACTGTAAATCAAGAAGACCCAAAATCAACTGATATGCAATAGACCTACCCAAACCCATGTTGAACCTAATACTCCAATTTGAGCATTAACCAATACGAAGTTAATGGCTTTGCTCAAACCTAACATGGACCTGATAGTTATTGGCCCGACTAAAAATTGATCTTACCCAAACCGGGTGGTTTAATAGGGTAACCTTGACCATTATGACAATTTATTTTTAATTATACAAATGTGAAAGTCAAGTTTATTATATAGAATAAAAAGAATCATATAGTGAGTCACATTATTTTATTATGTTAATAAGTCTTATGACAATTTCACCAAATTTAATCTCAACTGATTCTGGTTTGACAATCATGAGCTTAACCCGACGCAACATCGACCTATACAGATACCTGATGTAATCCAAACTATTTTGAGCTGATTTGATGTTAACCCAACTTGTTTTCGAACATAACAAGTTGAATTGACACGACTAATCTAATCCAAATGGATCAGGTGGGTGAAAATGGTAACTTTGACTCATTATGATCCAATCACTACATGATCAACCCGTAATTGAATTGATACGATATAACCAGTTGATACTAATCATGTCCTTATATAATGGACATAGTGAAACTTGACACATATGCATTACTTTGACTTTAGATAAATATGATTTTATATTGGTAAAAAATATTAACAAGTTGAGATTACAAAACTTTATTATTACGGAGTAATACCTACTTAAGAATATATTTCATGATAAAATTTTATTTTTATACGTTACTAAAAAACGATGGTCAAAATTAGCATACAAATAGTGAAAAAAGTCAAACATGTCATCTTTACTCAATAGATCTTGACTCGAAATTGACAAGACCTGATCTAACCCAAGATGAATAAGGTGGATCAAAATGGTAACCACAACAAAGGCTATGGTTCCATCCTGCCTTGAGAGGAATTTGAGTCGTTATGACTCGACCCGTCAAAGGGTAAGCCCGTAATTGATACAATATTTCAAGTTGACAACTCTACCTATAACTAATAGTCAATTACTCATTCATTATTACACACTTATTCATCTAACCATCACTAATTATACTTTATTTAAGAAAATACACTCCATAGTTAACATACAGAGTATAATTTTTTTTAACACAACATAGATTATAATTGATAATAACATATAAAGTTAAGCTCATGATTATCTCTTTTAATAAATCTAATCATGATTTAATAAATGTATGTTCCCCTCACAAAATAATTCATACTATATTATTATTATTATTCTTATTATAATGTAAATTTTTTTTACATTATTATTATTATTATTATTATTATTATTATTAAAGATTGGCTTGAAGGTAATGCTTAGTAGGAAATTTTGGATTTAGCATCTCTTGGTTTAATACTCAGTAAAATATAGCAGTTTTTTTGTATAAAAAGAAAAAGAAAATTTCATTAAAAAAAAGAAGAAAAAACAAAACAATCCCAATTAATTCGTTAGTAGGTGGCAGGCACACAAAATCAAACAAACCAACGCATAACAAACTTCCCACAAAATCAATCACCGCTACTCGAAATTCTCCATTGAAGCGTACTCAAAATTCTCCATTGAAGCGGCATCTGAGTTCTGACTTTCTGAGCTTTCTCTCCTTGACAGCTCGACTCCTCCATTGAAGGCTTTGAAGCAGTCTCTAAGGTTAGATTTTGACAATATAGTGTTATTGTGTTAATCGTGTATTTAATCGTCTCAATTTAGGTTGGTTTCGGTGGTGGTGTAGGGGGAGGGGGTGGCTGTTGTGGCTGGGCTGGGGGCTCAGGGGCTGGAGCCTGGGGAGTGGCTGTCAGGCTCATGGGCTGGGTCAGGTACTCAGGTAGGGAATTGTTTAATTAATTTGCATCAATTGCATGTTCAGTGAGGTTGGAAGGCTTGGAGGTGTGACAGTCTGTGAGCTTGACTGGAGTGGAGCTGTGGAGGGGACGAAGTGGATGGCGTCCAGAATTCTAATCATTTTCTAAATTTCTTTCGATTACATTTGATTGCAATCTGATTTTTGCTTCCCAACTTTATGAACTTAAGCCTAATTTCACTTTATAATTTCATTTGATTTCAGTTTATACTTTTATTTTGATTCTAATTTTATTATCATTTAAATTTGGGCTAATCAGATCAAATTTCCAATTTACGGAGTATAATATTTTCAGAAATCTAGTTTAATTTTGTAATTGAACATCCCAATTGAATTAATTTCTCAGTATAATCATCTTTTCTTAAATAATTACTGATTTTGTAAAAGTACCTTGTTTTTATTTAACTTACAATTTGCAATCTCAATTTTGCTTTGTATATTTTCCATAGGTTGTTGATATTTGGTGCGATAAAGTCACGATATTCGGTGCAGAAATAGAAAAACACAATACCCAGCTTCATGTGAGTAATTCGTAGCATCCTTGTTCTATATTGCTTCTGCATGCATCTAAGTTATCCGAAATTGGCAAAAAAGTTACCTTACTCCATTTAATAGCATTGGCTAATATGTACTCCATTTTTCGTGTATCAATGTTGAATGATTGTTTGATTACTTATCTAGAAAGAGATTTGCGTTACAATGTTAGCATGGGATTGTTAGGTGCTTGTTACCATTCTCTTTGGCCGTATCTCTTTTAGGGTGTGACTCAACTTTCGTATTGTGAGATTTGTGACCTTTAATTTATCTAATTTTTAAAGTTAATACTTTTTCTTTTTTCATCAGTAACCCTTGCTTTGTCCCCAATACTATATGAATTTCTGTTGTTATAAAAATTGAATATGCATTTTTATTGTACAAAGTTTGTCTTCTTATTTTGTTTTAGCCAGTCCAAGAATTCATATCGATATTTGTCTCTTAGTTTATTACCTTTTGTTGTTGTTACTACATATAACTTCTTATGTTATATAGTAATATAATGGCAAACATCAACAAAGATTGGATTGATGCACCCCACAGTGCTGAAGAATATATATCAAAGGAGTTGAGAATTTTCTAGATTTTGCATTTCTAAATTCAACCATGGACACTGAGGAAGATGATGAACCAGAAATTTTATGCCCATGTATGAAGTGTGTTAACAGATTCTGGTTCCTAAGGGAGGATGTTTTTAATCACTAATTGCTAAAAGATTTAAAAAGAGGTATAAAGTGTGGAACTTTCATGGCGAAGGATTTGACAACAAGGTCTTCTTTAAGGGGAGATGGGCATCAGTGTGATAATCAAAGCACATTAGACAATATGGATGAGATGATTAATGATATTTTCAGAGATGTTATAGGAGGTTTAAGCTCTGAAGCAGAAGAACTTCGAAAGGGTCCTGATGAGAGTGCTAAAAAGTTTTATAAATTGTTAGAGGATGCACGAGAGGAATTATATCCAGGCTGTAAGGAATTTTTTGTGCTTTCATACACAGTGCAACTCTATCTACTTAAATGCCTTAACGGGTGGAGCAATTCTTCTTTCGATGGGTTGATGAAGCTTCAATGTGTTGCCTTTCCATTTGCAAAGCTTCCCACTTCTTTTCATCATGCTAAAAAGATGGTGAAGGACCTTGGACTTAATTACAAACGAATCGATGCGTGTCCTAATGATTGTATGTTGTATGGGAAAGAACGTGCAAATGACAAGTCTTTCCATGTTTGTAAAGCTTCTAGGTGGAAGTTAAATGAGAAGCAAAAAGAGGAAGGTGCATTGCTCGACGAAGGAGATCCTGCAAAAGTTTTGCGTTACTTTCCTCTTAAACCTCGTCTGCAAAGGTTGTTCATGTGCTCTAAGACGGCTGAACTCATGACATGGGATGAAACTGATCGCAAGAAAGATGACAAATTATGGCATCCTGCTGATGGACAAGCTTGGAAATATTTCAATGTTGCACATCCTCAATTTGCAAGTGATTTTCGAAATGTGAGGCTGGGTTTTACTACTGATGATTTCAACCCATTCAGAACTATGAGTGAGTTATATAGTATTTCGCCTGTTGTTTTATCCATTTATAATTTGCCTCCTTGGTTATATAATAAGTTCGAGTACAATATCATGTCTTTAATTATACCTGGTCCTTCTTCTCCGGGTTATGACATTGATGTTTACTTGCAACCATTAATCGAGGAATTGAAGGAGTCATGGGAAGTTGGAGTTAAGACATATGATGCTGTGAAAGATGAAACATTTTCTTTAAAGGCAGCCTTGTTATGGACAATCAGTGACTTCCCTGCTTATGCAATGTTGTCCGGATGGAGCACCAAAGGAGAATTTGCCTGCCCGAATTGCAATCATAAGACTTGGTCCAAATACCTGAAGTATATAGTAAGAAAATGTGTTACATGGGACATCGTAGTTCTTGGAAAGAAAATCATCCATGGCGTCATAATAAGAGAGCTTTTGATGGTAATGTAGAGACAAGGCCTCCTCCTCCTGCTAGATTCCCAGGTTCTGAGGTATTAAAAGATTTAGAAGGGTTTGAAAATAAGTTTGGGAAAACTCAAAAGAAGGGCAGAAAGAAATTTCCTTGGAAGAAGAAATCAATTTTCTTTGAGCTTCCTTATTGGGAAACTAATACCTTGCGTCATAATCTTGATGTTATGGACATTGAGAAAAATATTTGTGACAGTGTGCTCGGTACTTTGCTTGATATCAAGATATGGGTAAGAAATGAAAAGAATAAGGACGATGTGGCAGCCCGCTTTGATTTACAAGATATGGGTATAAGAAATGAACTCCCTCTAAAGAGAACAAATAATAGAGGGAAGCGTTTATACTCCAAAGCTTGTTTTTCTTTATCTTCTAGTGAAAAAGAGTTGTTCTGCAGTGTGATAAAAGGTGCTAAGTTTCCCGATGGTTGTGCATAAAACATCTCCAGATGTGTCCAATCCAATGAGAGGAAAATTGTTGGTTACAAGAGCCATGATGCCCCACTTTATGCTTCATTATTTGCTCCAAGTTTCTGTAAAGAATACCTTGCCTAAGCAAGTAGCATTGACTTTGATTAGGCTAGGATCCTTTTTTAGGGGTCTATGTAGGAAAGTTCTAAAGCCTGAAGATCTTGACGATCTTGAATTTGATATCATAGAGATACTTTGCCAACTTGAGAAGATATTCCCCCCTAGTTTCTTTGACATAATGGTCCACCTTCCACTTCATCTTGTAGAGGAGGTAAGGCTTGGGGGCCCTGTTCAAAGTCGTTGGATGTATCCGAAAGAGCACTATTTGGGTAAATTGAAGTCGTATGTAAAAAATAGAAGTTGACCCGAAGGTTCCATTGCAGAGGCCTACTTGTTAGAAGAATGCCTTATTTTTTGTTCTCGGTATCTTCACGATGAATTTAGTTCAAAGTTGAGTCGAGCACCTGGAAATGATGATGATGATACTGCGTCCAATGAAGATGGAAGCCTTTTTCCTAATGTTGGACGTCCTTTAGGTGTAAAAAAGAAAAATAAAGGCAAAAAGGTTTCTTTAGATGAAGACACTTTGATGAAAGCTCATCGCTATGTACTCTTTAATTGTGATGAAATAAGTGATTACATAAGGTCAGTAAGTAAATTTAAACTGGTATTATTTCATATTAACTATATTTAATCTTCATCATTTATAATTGACTTATACAACTAAGTTGCTTTGTGATATATATGTAGTGAACATCAAGATTTAGTGAATCATCAAAGAAGTCAAGGTAGACGGGGTAAGCGGAGTAGGTGGGCGAGAGCACAAGAACACAGTCATGATATTGGAACATGGTTCAAGAACCGTGTACGGGAAGAAAATGTTTCCAAAGAAATCAAGGCTTTATCCCAAGGTCTTGACTATACTGTGAGAAGTTGTAAAGGGTACCTAATAAATGGTAATAGATTTCATACAACTGCACATGAGTCAAATAGGAAAACTCAATGTAGTGGAGTTAGTGTAACATCTTCAATGTCGAGTTTTGCAAGTTCCAGGGATCAAAATCCTGTTGTTGGGGATGTCAAATATTATGGAGTGGTGGAGGATATCATTGAGTTAGATTATTTTGGGCATTTCAAAGTGGTATTGTTTCGCTCTAACTGGTTTCAAGTTGAGCAAGATGAGTTTGGGCTAATATGTGCAAATTTTAAAAGGTTATGCTATATTAATGACCCTTTTGTGATGGCTAATCAAGTAAACCAAGTTTTTTATGTGCAAGATTCCAAAGAAAAGCATTTACATTACGTTATGGAAACTATCCCCGGAGACTTCTTTGATATGAGTGAAGAATCAAATGGTGATGTTGGAGTTTCTTATTGGAATGAATCTGCTAGTGATGGTGTTCGCCCAGGGGCAACTATTGCTGATGACTATGATGTTAGTTGGTTGAGAGAGGACTTGCCTGCCACTACTGTTGACATTCCAGAATACATGTTAGAAATGCAAGCAGAGCCGGAAATTAATGATTCGGATGATGAAATCGAGGACAATACTCTATGGGATTTCATGCAAGTAAGTGAAGATGAAGCTTAGGAAATATGATTGGTCCTTTCTAGTATTCTGTTTTTAGTAACTTTGAAGTAATAAAAGCTTAGGGGTTTTAGGTTAAACAATTTTGTTTTTGTTTGACTGCAAAATTATTTGTTTTAATGATCAAAAGTTTGGTTTGGTTTTTTTATTTTATTTTTTATTTTTTATTTTTTTCTTTTCTTTTTTTTTCTCTGTTTTGTTTTGGGATTATTTGATAATCTCATGAAGCTTAATTTGTTTGTTTTGGATTAGAAACAGTTAACTGCCCAAATCAAATAAATATGAAGTTCCATTAAATAAAAAAGGTTAGTATAGACAAGGTTGTGTTGTCATGTGGAAGCTACACATACATCTAGAAATTATTAGTTTTTTTTTTCCTCCTTTTTTTGCAACATGAGCTAAATAAAATTAATTGCTTATGATTTATGTCTTTTATTCAGGTTGTAAGTTCTGTCAAGTGGCTCGAAGATGAGTTTGAACTTAATGCTCTTCACAATCCTGGTAGCCGCCATGGAAGTGGTAATGAAAAGGCTGCTGCAACCCAAAGAAATGCTCTTTCTGCTGCATTAGGGGAACGAGTTGATGCTGGAGCAATGAGTACAATTTCAGGTTCAGTAATACTATTTCATATCTATTTAGTGAATGACAAACTTACAATTCTCAAACATCAAGATCAGATAGTTTCCTGGAATCACATTGATTCATTTTTCCTTCAAAAGTCTGAGTACTTCCCCTCCCTTCTTATTATAGTAATGGAGGTATTCTTAATGGTGATTCTGAGTTAATAGCCTCTAGAAGCGCCTTCAGTTGTGTGTTTGAATATTTGAAAACACCAAATCTTGCACCTGCAGTTTTTCAGTGTCTGACTGCTACTGTCCACAAGGCATTTGAAACAGCTGTATCATGGCTGGTAATAATCGTTAATGATTCTTATTAATATTCCATTTTCCATTTTCTTATTGATTCTCTTTAATATTCCACTTTCCACGTATCTCTTGTTGTTGACCTTGTTGTTCTTGTATTCTTCAAATAATCTTACCAGAGTCTGGATTGTAGAATTGGGTGAGATTCATATGTCCCTTGTTTAATATCTATTCTTCTACCTTGATGTAGTTGTGTCCTCTGTCCACCTGCTCGCGTGCACACAGACATAGACACACACACACACACACGCACCTTAGACCTTATTCAATTAATTTATTCATTTCTGTGGGCTTCAGATGATTTCAATTTTACATGCTGTAATCTATGCATAATAACCCTTGTTATGACATGAGTCATGCTTCATAGCCAATATATGGCTGTTTGGATAAAGAAGGGAGAATGAAGTACAAATTGAAAGAGAGAATACTTTTCTTGCCTAAACATTAAGTCTAAATCTAATTTTTCAGGAGGAAGGATATCTGATTTTGATGATAAATCTGATATTAGAGACTCAACTCTCTCAATGCATGCTTCCTTTCTGATTAAAGCCATGTCCCAGAAGGAAGAGTATGTTAGGGATATATCTGTTAACCTGCTGGTTCAACTTAGAAACAGGTTTCCGCAGGTAATTTTATTTACTGCTATGCAAAGGTATTCGATTTTTTTCATCGTCCATGGAGTTAAAATGATCTTGGATAAGATGGTATACATACAAATTTATGGCAAAACCTTACAAAATAATTACAGACTTGCACTATTAGCCCTGTTATGAAGCTCACAATACTCTTTTATGACCAAAACTATGTTTGGCTGAACCATAAATTATATTACGAGTTTACGACTTAAATAGATGAAGAGAGAGGATAAGGACTGAGGTTAGCTTCGTTTTGTAGGCAATTGGGGGCAAGGGATGTGAGGTCCTCTATTGATTTCGTTATATTTCTTGCTCATTACACTTGTTACGTACAGTTATAACTTACGAGGTCAGTATAAAATTTTAGTTATAATAATTTTGAATTTGGATTTGACAGATAAAATTGTGATGATAGTTTTGGGTGTGATTGTTTTCAGCTTGATACTACATCGTTTGATCAGGGAAATTATTATTTCTTTTATTGTTGTTATAGTGTAAGTGAGATTGGTAAGTTTCTAGAGTATTTGGTTTGAAGGAACCAAGCTATTTTCAGGAATGTCGTGGTAATCCCCCTTGGAAATTATCAAGCAAGCTGATCATTGGTGTGTGAGATGGAAGAAAGATAGAGCCATAAGGAAAAGACCTGTGTGCACCGCTGTTCAGGTTGACAGCTTACAAAACCAACTCTGTTGGGGATCAGGTTTGGTTATTAGAATCATCAAAATATCAGTTATGCAATATAAGGTTTATCATTAATTTAATTGTCAGTATACTCAATTTAGGGTTCCTCTAAGATAGATTATTGAATGATTGATTTTGATTACTATAGTTATGAAAGATTATGACGATTGGTTTTGTTGTCAGAATTTGTTATGGGCAATTTACACTAATTTTGTAAGTAAGAAGAACTTTATGTGATTTTGGAGCATAATTTGATAATGGTGTCAAATTGTAGAACGGAATTATGAAAAATGGTTTTTTTTTTCATGGCGAGGTCGGAAGCCTCTACTGCCTTAGCTCTAGGGTAGACATGCCTAGGATATGCTAATATGCAGAAATTGATTGTTTTTTTCGCAACTCACATTAATGACTGTATTTTTAGATGAATTATGTGTCTGGATTGTTGATTTTATGCAATTGTTTTTTGTATCCATGATTATGTTTATCAACGAGTTAATTGAAAAGAACTATGGCTTTTGTGGCAGCTTTCCCCTGTGAGAATAGATAGATTTAACAATGATGGAGTAGTGTGAGACCATGATGTACGCACTGAGAGGAAAGGTAGCGGGGTTGGCCTTCCAAATAACAATAAAAAAAATTACAATATTCAAGCAGGATTTTAGCTACTTGATTCCGAATCAGATCCTGATAATCCATTAGATGCTCACAATGATAGAGATGCTATCACAGTCAACTATTCAAAAAACAATAAACCAGAAGAATACAGTATTCGAGAAAGATTCAAGCTACTTGATTATGAATCTGACTCTAATGATCAATCAGATTGTGAACACATTAACAGAGAATCTAGTGGGGTTGATTTTTCCAAAAACAATAAACAGAAAGAATCTAACCATGGATATCACAGAAAATTCCTTGGAAAAATTGTGGATTTGCAGCCTCACATTTCCCAGCACGCAGCAGGATATGTGGAAAGATTTTTGTACTAGTGATATATCTACTGCATAGACTCCGGCTTTTGATGAATTCTGCTGGTCGTTGGCTTTTAGCAGAATATGGAAGGAATGTGAGGATGTAATGAACTAGAAGTGTACTTGCTTAATCACAGTTGACTGTTTGATAAAGCAATTAACATTTTCTTGATGATTTCAATTGTTTGACTACTTTTAATTTGCTGCATTAAGTTTTCTTATGAATGAAATAATCAGTGCTAACTGGAGGTAAGTATATTTTGATAGGAAAAAAATGGAGATTTATGTTACACTGATTTTTCTGAAAATAGCTAAGCTATCCTGTGTAGCTGAAAGAAAACCTGCTTGAAACTCCATCTCTTACAACATGTAGACCATCCTTGTGTTTACTTGATCACTTCCAAAGTTCTAATTTTTTATGCTACTTTTGGTTCACACAATTGACGATTCACCATCAACAATTATATTTGCTACTAAAAGACCCTCCTATTTCCTAATAATGATGTTTTTTTTTCTAATTTTTTTATTATGTGCAGTTTTTCATTTGTTATTGGTTAACATGAATTTGTAACATTATCTCCAATTATTCTGATTGTGATTAATGTCTATTAATAGCAATTATTCAATTAATAGCAATTTGGTTAACATGAATTTGTAACATTATCTCCAATTATTCTGATTGTGATTAATGTCAATGCGCTCACCTCTTTATTCTGCTGTGTGAATCTTTTTCAGGTGTATACCACTAAAATGGACAAGAATTGACAGGTCAAATTGCCTACATACATTATAGAAAGGTATCTATAACCAAATTGTTCTAATATGTCACTCTGCTCATGTTACTAAATATTTTAAGATTTGCTGTCATATATCTTAGTACCATGAAAATTCTCCCTTCTTTATTTCCTGCTAGAATTCAGTGAAAGTGAATGAAACACCACAACATTGTCAGTTATACTATTTGCACTTTAGGGAAGATGACCAATGCTTGATTTTGTTCTTGACAGGAAAGTGGAAGTTGTAAGAAGTCTAAAAAGAAGGGTACTATGAAGAAAAAGTGAAAGTTTTAAGCTGCTAGCAATGTAGAATACTAGAATTAGTCTTCTCTGTGATCTCTTCTTTTTTAATTTTTTTTTAAAAGATAGTCATGCTCTTAAAGTAATTGATGTACTAATTACTGTCATTTTAGTTGGTATGCCTGTGAATAAGATAATAAATTACTCATATGTTGCAGTTTTGTGTAATACTATTAGTTGTATTTTTTGTTGGTCGAAGTGTTAATTCATTTTTGAAAGCTACAAATATCTCTATAGTATAGACTTATTCTACTTCACTGCTATGCTAATTCAAGTTGCTGTGTGAAATTATGAAGTCAAATACTCTCAATAAACTTGACTCTTTGCTATCATACCTTATTCACATCATTCGCACTTTCCCCATAAGACTCTAATCAGTTACATAAGGCAATGGAAACACATGAAACAATTATTGTCTTTTATACCTTGAAACAACGTTTTTAAAATTGTTGCATAGGTAACGATTTTATTGTTGTTATATTTTTGGACAATATTTGAAATAAATGTTGCCTTATGTAAAAAAAAAAAGACCTACATTTTACATATTGTTGTTTTACATAGTCTAAAGCAACACTTTTTGAACCGTTGCATAGTACTGCATTATACATTGTTTAGGATTAAGGTAACAAACATGTTTTGTTGCCTTTTGTAATAAAAGGCACCAATTGTAAAATTGTTGCAATTCTGTGTGTTGCCTATTCTCATTTTTTTTGTAGTGGTTTGTGGAATTTTATTAGTAAAATTTTATTCCACCATGAAACTTTTCAACATTTCATCTTATGATAAATGGTTTTCCCCAAATGTTTCAAGAGTAACACTCTTCAAAAGACATTTATAGAATCACACCCATATTTAAAATGCTTGATTTCTTTCACGCAATTCTGGTGAATATTGTCGTTCAATTATTGCATAGGTTTCGTTCAATTATTGCATATGTTTAGTTATTATTATTTTGCAAATCTTAGCATCTTCATTATCGAACAATTTCATTATAAGATGATAAAATTTTGACAGTGTTATGGATCATATGTGATTTAGGATTTATTGTCCAAGTGATGGCTCCCACTCATTTTCATGATTTGAGATCCTTCAACTAGACAACCTACAATCATTAACGTTCGACAACGAACTTTCCATTGAACACTTTCTTATTATTGCCTTCCAGGCAACAATATTCTCAACATATATTTCAATAGACTTTCCGATGGTGCTTTGCTCGGATTTCATTCCAACCGGCTCACAATGATTTAGGAGACCCTAATCACTTGTGATTATGGAAATTTACCTTAAACTTCTGTACATTATACATGGATGCGCGTCTATGTTACCATTCTCAAGCCATGACGCATTCTGTCTCGTGCTTATAAATGACTTCCTTATTAAGGATCTAATCCTTGCTAAGGATGTACTTGCGACATCAACTCTAAAATTAAATTTGTTTCCATGCGTCAAGAACTTATCCCCTTTTACTTATCAAAGTACTTTGGATTTTTCTTGATCATAATCTAATGATTCATCACTTAGATTTAAATTGATTGGTATTTTATACTTCTCATGCTCTAAGCATGCAAGTTGAGTGATGACTCCATATCATAGAATACATGGTGGTTTTAATTGCAAATTATTCCCAATATTATTCCATTCATGTGACCTTTTAGCTCATCCAATTTTACCGAGTCTTGCTAACTATTTGCTATGTGATACGGTTGAAAGTCTCTACTAGAATCTTTCTTGTTTAACTTGGTATTTGCCCAGCTTATACTTAGTTTAAACATTTACTTAGTTTTATACATATGGGTCGAAAGTGTTTCAGGGTTTTTGGAGTCCCTCGGGAGAGTTACAATTCCAAGAATGCGCGTCGACCTTCTGTACCTGCAAAACCACGGAAACTCCGGTTGGGTGGAGTTTCGCCTCCGACAATCAAGTTAGAACGTTTCCGGATGTATAAAAGTGCGGAATGTAAAGGTTTTTCTCTCTGATTCAGAGAGAGTTTTGCAATTAATATTGCTCGGTTATTGTCTGGATATTTGTGAATGTGTAATAAATGAGGATTTTCCTCTATTTATAGTGGAAGGGGATCAGTGCCCCTTTTAGGGTTAAAGTGCCACGTGTCAGTAGAGGATTGGATCTCGTAGGGCCTCTCTGAGGATGACACGTGTCAGCATGCTATTGGGCCATGTGGACAGGGTATTTTTACCCCAAACATTTGCCCCTCACAGGTGTGACGTGGCTTGCCACGTGGCACCTATAACAGGTGTCACGCTCTGAGAAGGTAACGCTTCGTCTCCTTCTCTCTCTCTCTCTTTTTTTTTTTTTGAATTCGAAATGGGAAGGTGACGGTTCGCCTTCTGGAGTCCTATCATTTTCACACTTTGCAGATTTTCATTTTTGAGAGAATGCTCTGATACCGGTTGCTAGTTTATTCGAAACCAGTATACATACAGCCGGTCACAACCGTCTGGGGCATCTTCAAGCAAATTTCCTTCAAACCGCCTAAGAACCCTTTGACCTTTCTCTAGCTTCCAATACACCCATAGCCGGTCTCAACCGTCTAGGGTATCTTCAAGCAAATTTTCAGAAAAACTTCTGGGTCATCAGTGAAATTCAATTGCGCTTCAAGGGGGTACATCCGGGATACCGTCTGGGGTATCATCAAGCAACAAAAAGGATTTTCGGCGGCTGACTTCAAGAGGTCAACCGTCTTCAGATTTTTTACAACTTCAAGGTACCGTCTCTACCCCTTGCAACTTTTTTGCGCTTTTTCCAGTTATATAGCTTGTAAAGAATAATGGACTTACCCAACAAACACACGGCACGACCTAGGACAATTGTCAGCCGGTCACCGGTTACGGTTGAGTCTAGGACTGGGGATGCCGTCTGGAGTTGTTTGGACCACCCTTACTCTTCAGCGAATCTGACCGTCACTGTTCATGTGCAGGACATAATGGCTCGGACGAGACAGACGACTGTAGACCCCGATTATCAGTCAGACGGCTCAGCCGAAGCTCCAGCTGATGATGTATCTTATGACCAGCCGGGCATACCTAGCACGCCCGGAGATGATATCTTGGAACAATCCGAGAGTACAGGCGGCGAAGAGACCGTCCAGCAATCAGACTCCATTGAGTCAACCATGGAACCGAATGCCCCTCAAGAGGATGAGGAGGTATAAAAGCGGCCGGATGGGAGAATGTTGTGCCGCCTGTTGAGGCATCCGTCGTTTGGGATGATGACCTTGACCATGCCAATGATTATTTTGGCTGCTATGAGGCGGCGTTCAAAGCTGGCCTCCGGTTCCCCCTCCATAATACAATAATAAAGGCCATTCTAAGGGGTTACGACCTTGGCGTCTGGCAGCTAACACCCAACTCTTGGGTGAATATACAAGGATACATAGCCGGCTGCGAGATGCAGCACATAACGCCTAGCTGGGAGGAGTTTACACATATGCACCACCTCAATCGTGCCCCAGGCGGCTGGAATGCGTGGTATACATTGACCACGCACCCGGAATTTATGATGACGCTTGACAAGCCGTCTAAGTGGAGCAGCTGGAAGAGCAAGTTTTACTTGGTTTTTCCCCCTCGCTACAACTAAACCACCGGCTGTGTCGCTACAATACACACCCGACTCTTCTTGGAAAGAAGTGCGCCCTTTTTAAAGTACCGGAAGAGGCATGGGATCAAATAACGGAGCCCCGGGTCTGTTAAAAAAGACCTCCTTCCCTTTGGATGATGGGGCAAAAGTCATTGTCCCCAAAAACTGGGTCCCTCATCCGGACTGGCTAAAGAACGAGGCGTTCCTTTCCGCCTGTGGCCTAAGCACAATGTTTAGCAGACGTATGTTGATTGTTAACAGGCACTTTATGCCGTCTGTATCATACTTGATTGGGTTCTGATTTTTTTTTATTTTTCTTCCTTGTAGAGAAAGGATTAAAGATGGTTCCTCCTGAAAAGACACCGGCTAAGTCTGCTGCTAAGATCCGAAAGGATCAACTGGAGAATAAGAGGGCCCAACTAGCGGAAAAAGATGATGGGGTAAGTGCCGGCTGAGCTCTTTTACCGTTTGTATTGTTTGAAGCTTATTTTTTATATTAACCGGCTGTGTCGTTTTCCATTTCAGACGGGGAGCAAGAATGTTCCTCGTTCTCTATGACAAATGTTGAAGAGACCGGGAGTGGAGCCCTCATAGCCTGCTTCCAAAACAAGAAGGGTTCCGGCTGGCCTTGCCTCTACCGGAAGGCCGCCTGCGCCTAAGAGGCCTACTTCAGCAGGCAAAAGGCTGAAAGATCTAGGCCTAGGCTCAGGGCCGGCTGAGGTTAGAATGAGGGAGCCCGAAATTCCCTCAAGTCGGGTGCTTGTTGTAGCATTCGGGTCCTATGCGCTGGGGCTGGAGTGACCACTCAGCCTGAAAATCAAAGTACTGCTCTCACCTTTGATCCCCCAGGCTGCTTGGGCCTATGCGAGTCAAGTCCCAAGCTACTCAATCAGAGGATTCTTCAGGCAGCCGACAGAATATAGGTGTCGCATATGCTCAGTACTTAACCGATAAATCTATTAATGCAAATGCCTCTTCTCGTTGGCCGGATCTCCAAAATTACGCCAAGAGAATGCTGAGGACCCTTACCCGGTCCGATAAGGAGGCGGTACCGGGTATAAACCAGGTCAACATACACCGCATCAACTCACTACTCGCTGAGGTAATTCACCGGCTGCGATGTTTTTGTGCTACTTTATTCTTTTGCCGGTTGTTGCATAATTGAGGATGGAGGAGCAGTCCTTGTTGAACTCGTACTTGGGGACGTATGGCTTCAACTCTCTCTTTTTCTTCTGAGACGGCTGACCAGAATGGTCCGCCATCCAGACTTCTTTTCTTTTCTTGATCTCTTCTTTTTAAGCCGGCTGAGTAGACTAGCTCTCTTTTATGTCGGACTTTTTAGGGTCTGATGAGTGCTTGATGGCAAAGAGCCCCGTCGCCTTCTCGGCTTCCATCAATGCCTCTTGGAGGGTAACAACCCTCTTTCTGACTAGGTCGAACTTAAAGGTCGACCCGTCCTTCAGACCCTTGAAGAAGTCTGTATAGGCAACTTTGTCAGACAGCCCTTGGATCTGAATTCTCATCAAATTGAACCGCCTGGCATAGGACCTTAGTCCTTCCTTATCTCCCTACTGAATAGCCCCCAAGTCGAGACTTGTCTTTTTGGCAGGGATGTTCATGGAGAAGTTGGACGCGAACAAGTATGCTAGCATCTTGAAGTTGTTGATGCATCCGGCTGGTAGA